GTGTTTGGTAATCAAAGACATACAGTACACATTATCAACACTAAACGCCAACCATGGGCCCAGTTATGAGACTTTTGACAGCATTTTAACAGACATCTATACTTATCTAGTTCCTCTATGAGTTTGCATTTGTTTCACACTAAGCGACTTTTACTACAGCGTTCAGGGTAATCTTCCATGACTAAATGTTCGCTTACTTTTACTTTTTTGCTGTGTCATAGCATAAAATCCTTAGCCGTTACCATCTGTCACAAAACAGTAAGTCAGATCAAAGTTAAATGCATCTGTCAACCAAAAAAGATTTTCAAAGAGGTCATTTTACCCCTTTCACTGGTCTATTTGCAGTTGGTACACAGAGACCCATTTGTACCCCACAAAGTACAGATATGTACTCTGACATACTGTATATGGGGGCTTACTGACAGAAAACATTTTCACTTTTGACAGCTTAGGGCCACACAGGGACATGTGCTGACATAGAAATGAAATACAGACTTTGAAAAACCAAAGAAAACACCAAGGACAGCCTTTCTTAAACAGCATGCATGGACTGTCCTTGATTTCATGTCTGTCAATTCAGCTGTTTTCTAAAGTGAACGGTTGCTGAAGTGCTTCAAATAAATCAAATGTCAACACTAACGAGGCCAAACATAACTAACTGCTGTTGGAAATCAAATACCTTCAGTTTTAATGCTGTCCTCCTCGCTAAATAGTGTGTTTAAATGTTCAAGGAAAGTAAAGGAAGGGAGCAAGGAAACAGCTGCTGTGTTTGTCCCCCTTCACTGGACAGGTGGGAACCTTGTCTAGGACCTCAAAGATTTACTCTATTTTATAGTGTAGACTCTACTGCAACCTCTGATCATTCACTTTATGCCTGCAGGGTTATTCTGGCCTGATCGGTCTAAAAGATTTAAGAAAACATTTTTGGTGGTTGTTTCACTGATGTGTTTCAAAATACCTAATGAAAGTCTTACACTGCACATTGAGCTGGTAGGGGATCCTGAAGTCACTCTTCAGAGCCGGGTGGCGGACCACACAGGTGAGTGTGTGGCCCTGGATGTGACGTGTGGGCTGCCAGAGGTAGCGCACTTGTGTGCTGGTTGTGCCGTTGACCTCATCAAATAGTTGCACTTCTGACTGGCCAAAAAGGTTGGATTCCCAGGACACCTCAGCAGGGGGCCGGGCCCGCTCAGCAATACAGGTGGCCACTACAGTATCATTGCCACCATCGATCAGGGCAGTGGAACCCGCAGACACATAGACCTTTGGCTCCACTGTGATAGAAAAGAGACAAAAAAGTTGTTGGCACATTAGAATTTCAAGAACCATGAGGTCACTTCACTGAGTTAATTTCAGTGTTTATCAAGACCAGTTTTCTTTTACTGCATTCTCTCCACTTATTTCACTGCACTACAACCCAATCCTAATCTACATTATTAGCAGCTCAAGCCACCCCTGTGATCTTTCTGTGAAAAGGGATTGAGTGAGTACACACAGGCACCGAGTTTGTGTATCGGCAGTGAAAACCTGTGATCCAAATGTAAACAAAAAGGGTAATTGCTTCAACCAAATTCTAAACACAGGATTGGAACCTGCTGTAGCTTACAGGTCCTTTAATACATGTACTAATATCAATATCCACAGTTTGACATTGTGGCTGCAATTGCCAATTATATTTATAATCAAAAAAATGATTAGTTATTTTCTTAGTCTTAATCATTTAGTATCCATCACAATTTACTTGTTTTGTTCAACCAACAGTTGGACTGTACTTGACATCACACACAGGAACACCACATTCTCAGAGTTGTGGACTTGTTAGGCAGAAGAACACGTGTGTAAATGTACATTCACACTTACCGAGTACATTGACAGTAGTTGTGGCTTGAGTGTTTCCCAGAGGAAATGTGGCAACCTTACAGGTATAGATCCCGACGTCAGAAAAGCCCACATTTTCCAGTACGATGGTGGCGTCATGAGAAGAGGGCGAGCGAAAATACAAGCGTTGAATATACTCTGGCGGGATGGAGATGCCATACAGTGGGTTGTACACAGCCACTGTGACAGATCCTGAAGGCAGATGGCGCTCCCACGAACTCTGAGTAAGAGTAAGGTTTGCGCCCACCTCCACCCTGCACTCTAATGTCACATTCTTCCCCAACACAGCGTTCACCCTCTGAGGCACCACCACCTGACTGCACCACACACCTGTTAAAGAGACGCACAAAAACAAGAACTTTACCACATACAATCATTTGCTAACAGGTTTGAATAATTTATCACCAGTAATAAGACACTTACACTACACTTCTGATAGTCAGAACTAAATCTTTAAAATGCATTATGATATATTTTGAAGCATAATCCTTTTAGCCTAATTTCTACTGTGGTTATTATTTTCCACTTATCCAGGTCCCATCCTTCAAAGTGAGAAGTTCACCAATCGCAAAAAAATAACTTGCTGTTGAATGTTACCAACATTAGCTATTTTAAGACCTTTAAAAGAACTGAACTGTTAAGCTTTTATTAAACCACTACTTTTAAATGACACATACAAATTCCACTTTGTTTAGATATTAGAGCTGAAACAATTAGGCGATCAATAGAAACTGAATTGTCAATCATTGTTGCAGTTTAATCAAACAAAAATGGCAAACACTCTCTGGTTCAATCTAGGGATGCAACTGATAATTACTTTAATTAGTTCTGGGATTAATTGACTAACCATTGGGTATATAAAATATATTCAAATATTCAGTTTTCTGTCACACAAAACATGGATGAATAAATGTAATTAGTACATTATAAAATGACAAACAAGAAATCAATTATCACATTTTTTGCCAATTATTTTCTGCTGATCAACTAACTTATCAATCAAGTAATTGCTGCAGCTTTAGTTCAAGCTTCTCAAACATTAAGAGTTGCTCTTTTTCTGTTTTTTATATCATTTTAAATTGAAAATCTTTGGGTTCTGGACTGGTCAGACTACAGACAGCTACAGATCTCACTTTGCGCTCCTTTACCTTGTGTTGGAACTTTTTAAACATTTCATTAATTTAAGGATGAACTCAATCTAAAAATAATGAACAGAATAATGTACGATGAAAAACACTGCTTGCTGCAGGCCTAACTGATATGGCAGACAATTAACTTTTTCTGGTTAAAAGGAAACACATTGGTTTATTTGACTCAATGGCACAGATTACGTTTTCTATTTTAAAATGTCAGACGGGATTATGAGAGTGGACGAGTCATCGATCTAATATTGAATGACGAATCAAGAGTATTTCTGGTGTTACCTCTGACGTCAGTCATTAAAACAATTACATATCTGTCCAAGTTCAGTACCATCTGACATCTGCGGGTATCAGACTGGAATCAAAGCTTGATACCACCACAGCAGGCGTTGGGCTTTTCAACAAATAAAACACAGCTGACTGTGTGACTGAGTGTCCCATTGATGAATTTGTTTTGTCTCTATATAGCTTTCCTCCTCCTGACCTGAATTCAGGAATTAAAAGCAGGCTGTCTTGTATGTCCTTTGTCCAAATATAACCAACCCATGCACTCTGTCACCTGCACTTGTCAGAAACGTGGCGTGCCTGAAAAGCAGAGAGCTCAACGTCGTGTTAAGGAGAGTCAAAGAGATGTGAAGAGAACAGACTGGCGAGAAAAAAAAAAAAAAGACGATGGGAAGAGATATGCTAACACGAGGATGACATCATCACTGAGAGGAAAAAGAGGGCTGAGAGTGAGGAGAGGCGAGAGCAAAGTCACGTACGAAACACAAGTGAGAGGAAATGTATCACGAGGATCCTGCTAAACAAAAAAACACAGGAATCACGTTACCGATTTAGAAAAGACAATATAATGCTGCTCGACTGCCAAAGCCCTCAACCAGATCACTAATTGCAACAAGCTGCCAGCAGGAAGACATCATCATAAATCAAAACCTGCTGCGCTGCTTGGCAACTGACTGCAAATATTCTATTGTTGTTTTGCCAAATACCGCTCTTTCTCTGGCCAATCTCACTTGAAAAGGCCATGTCCTCAAATATTAGTACTGTAGAAGTTTCCCTACCCCTAAAGTATGAAGTACAAATGTCTATTTTTAAAATCTGTTCCTGCTGATAGATTCAAGTTTGAATTTGTGAGAAGACGAGACTTACTGTACCTGACAGTTTTCATTAATGTTTAATTTGAATGTTACTGGTTCAGTGGTTTATTATAAAGGTCAGTTTTTAGGGATTCCACACAATAAAAATAAAAACCCGATAGATGAGACGGCATAAAATTGTAATATATAGTAAATATTTGTTAATACACTTGAAAAACACAAATGTAATAAATTGACACAGCAAACTTTGTTTTCTCTTGTTCAGCAACATGTTCTATATGTTGGTCTAGATGGAGGTGTAAAGACACATTAAGCCAAATGTTCAATTGTCGTGGTTATCAAATCTTGATAGCACATTTCTAGTAGGTATCATGAGTCATCGTATTGCTCAGAGAGAGTAGAGGCAGCAGATTTCAGTGCAACAGTGGGGAGACAGTCAGCTGTGGAAGCACTATTCCTGAATTTTTGTGCTATTTAGGTCTATGCAATGGCTTCAGTTCACACTAAAATACATGTTTACACACACACACACACACTATTGATAGCAAAAACTCAGCATTAAATTCAAACTTTAAGCATTAAAGGATTCACACTAATAAGTGATCCATTACTAATGTGCTTCCAGTGGAAGTGATGGAGGACAAATTCCACATTCCTCGTTCTGTACAGAAATACATAATAAGCTAATATGAGAGTTCAGCATCGGAGTTAGCCAGATCAAGTGGATATCGTCCAAACTTGCTGTTTTTATACAGAATTCCCTCTTTGTGTTTCACAGCACTGTGGAAACACAAAGAGGGAATTCTGT